GATTATCAGGAAACCTTTTCTCCAACTGCAAATATGACATCTGTACGTAGTCTCATGCAAATCGCAGCACAACATGATTTAGAATTGCATCAAATGGATGTTAAAACAGCATATTTCCATGCTCCTATAGACTGTGAGTTGTTTATGGAACAACCTGAAGGACTTGAGGTGAAGTCAGAGAACGGGGAGAAACTGGTCTGTAAACTTAACAAATCACTGGATGGTCTGAAACAATCAGGACGGAATTGGAATAAAATGCTCCATGATTATCTCAGTGAAAATGGCTTTATTCAAAATGCGGCTGAGCATTGTGTTTACAGTAAACTAACATCTAAAGGTGAGAGGATTATTTTGATCATCTGGGTTGATGATCTTATCATTGCAGGAAGCAACAGTCAAACAATCCAAAACGTAAAAGACATTTTGGGAGCAAATGTAAGATGAAAGATCTTTGCAAACTTAAGAACTTTCTAGGCATTGATTTCACACAGACAGATGGGGAAATAAAGATGAACCAGAAAAGGTACATCATGAACATATTGCAAAGGTTTGACATGTCTGACTGCAAGGCAAGATCGACTCCATGTCTGACTGCAAGGCAAGATCGACTCCATGTCTGACTGCAAGGCAAGATCGACTCCATGTCTGACTGCAAGGCAAGATCGACTCCATGTCTGACTGCAAGGCAAGATCGACTCCATGTCTGACTGCAAGGCAAGATCGACTCCATGTCTGACTGCAAGGCAAGATCGACTCCATGTCTGACTGCAAGGCAAGATCGACTCCATGTCTGACTGCAAGGCAAGATCGACTCCATGTCTGACTGCAAGGCAAGATCGACTCCATGTCTGACTGCAAGGCAAGATCGACTCCATGTCTGACTGCAAGGCAAGATCGACTCCATGTCTGACTGCAAGGCAAGATCGACTCCATGCCTGACTGCAAGGCAAGATCGACTCCATGTCTGACTGCAAGGCAAGATCGACTCCATGTCTGACTGCAAGGCAAGATCGACTCCATGTCTGACTGCAAGGCAAGATCGACTCCATGTCTGACTGCAAGGCAAGATCGACTCCATGCGAGTATCAACAACCATTTGACAATGAAGGTGAATCTGTTGATCAGAAGAGGTGTCGTGAAGTGGTAGGCAGCTTGATTTATGTGATGACATGTACGAGACCTGATCTAAGTGTTATTGTCAGTAAGTCGTCTCAACACTTATCCGAACCAAAAGAACAGCATATGGTAACAGCAACACGTGTTGAGAGACTTGAAGGGAACTGTAGACCAGGAGTTGTGTTACAAGAGAAGTGATTCATTACATTACATTACATTGCATTTAGCTGACGCTTTTATCCAAAGCGACTTACAATAAGTACATTCGACCAGGAAGACACAACCTTGAAGAAAACAGAATCATATAAGTACATCAGGTTTCATAGAGCCAAACATTTCAAGTGCTACTCAACTGGCTTTAGGTAATCCAGTCCTTTATTGGTATAAAAGTGCTTCGTTAATCGTTCTAACGCTCGAAGTGGAGTCGAAAGAGATGAGTTTTCAGTTTGCGCCGGAAGATGTGCAAGCTATCTGCCGTCCTGATGTCAATGGGGAGCTCATTCCACCATCTTGGAGCCAGGATAGCAAACCCACGTGTTTTCGCCGATGGGAACTTGGGTCCCCCTCGCAGCGAGGGCGCAACGAGTCGTTTGGCTGATGCAGAGCGGAGTGCACGCGCTGGGGTGTACGGTTTAACCATGTCCTGGATGTAGGAAGGGCCAGATCCATTCGCAGCACGGTAAGCAAGTACCAGTGTCTTGAAGTGGATTCTAGCAGTTACCGGAAGCCAGTGAAGGGAGCGGAGGAGCGGAGTGGTGTGGGAGAATTTAGGAAGGTTGAAAACCAGACGAGCCGCTGCATTCTGGGTGAGCTGCAGAGGTCGGATGGCACATGCAGGTAGACCAGCCAGGAGGGAGTTGCAGTAGTCTAGGCGTGAGATGACGAGAGCCTGGACCAGAACCTGAGTCGCTTTCTGAGTCAGCTGGGGACGTATCTTCCTGATGTTGTAAAGCGTGTATCTGCAGCAACGGGTTGTAGCAGCGATGTTTGCAGTGAAGGACAGGTTGTTATCTAGGGTCACACCCAGATTCCTTGCAGTCTGAGTCGGGGAAACAACTGAGGTGCCGATGTTGATTGTTAGGTCAAGAGTGGGACAATCTTTTCCCGGGAGGAAGAGCAGCTCAGTCTTGTCAAGGTTGAGCTTGAGGTGGTGAGCAGACATCCACTGAGAGATGTCAGCTAGACAAGCAGAGATGCGTGCGACGACCTGAGTCTCTGAGCGGGGAAAGGACAGAATTAATTGGGTGTCGTCAGCGTAGCAGTGGTAAGAAAAACCATGCGGGCTAATGACTGATCCGAGCGAGTTTGTGTACAGGGAGAAGAGGAGGGGACCAAGAACAGAGCCCTGAGGGACCCCCGTAGTTAATTGACAAGGGTCGGACTCAGACCCTCTCCAAGTCACCCTGTAGGTACGGTCTTTCAGGTATGAGGTGAGGAGGGAAAGTGCAGAGCCTGAAACTCCAAGTTTTTGGAGAGTGCGAAGGAGGATCTGATGATTCACCGTGTCGAATGCAGCAGACAGGTCCAACAGGATGATGACAGAGGAGAGGGAGGCTGCTTTAGCAGTGTGCAGTTCCTCCGTGACAGCAATGAGAGCAGTTTCTGTGGAGTGACCTGCCTTGAAACCAGACTGGTGCGGATCCAGAAGGTTGTTCTGATGGAGATAACAGGAGAGTTGTTTAAAGACAGCGCGTTCAAGTGATTTAGACAGGAACGGGAGGAGAGAGACAGGCCTGTAGTTTATAACATCAGACGGGTTGAGAGTGGGTTTCTTTAGGAGAGGGTTTACTCTTGCCTCCTTGAGACTGTTTGGAAAGTGACCAGAAGTTAGAGAAGTGTTGATGAAATGGGTGAGAAACGGTAGAATATCATTCAATATGATTCAAAACTCAAACTTGTTGCATATTGTGATGCTGATTGGGCAGCAGATCAAAATGACAGACAGCTGGGTGCTGTTTTAGTCACAGCCTACAGTTGCTTTCTCCACATGTGAAGCAGAATATATGGCAGCTGCTACACAGGAACGTACGGAGCCCCTAAAGGGACATGGAAAAAAAAAAAAAAAAGAGAGAGAGAAAAAAAATAAAGTCAGGAAAACGGATTTGTTTCTCGTGCGCACGAGAAACAAATCCGTTTTCCTGACTTTATTTTTTTTTTGAAAGTTGCCGATGCACCAAGGAGGAAGTGGAACACGAGACAACCCATTTCATTGCAAACTGTTATGTTTACGTGGGGAAATGACAGTGCATACATTATTTGAGATATATTTTGAAGTCAGACTTAATTTTATGGACATTTCGGCCAGGGGTGTAGAGCTATTGGTTTAAGCACCGGATTGGCAAAACACTGGCGAGTCTGTAAACCAGTCTGCTTTGATCTACGAATAATGTCCGTGACTCTCAGAGTACCTGCTGCCCGCAGCTGTTTTATAGGGAAACAAACACTCAGAACACACACACACACACACACACACACACACACACACACACACACACACACACACACACACAGAGCCAGTGGCGGACTGGCCATCGGGACGAATCCCATTGGGCCGGTACCAAAGTGGGCCGCCCGTCACTAGCCGTCTAAGTACGATATATATCTCAAATAATGTCTGCACTGTCATTTCCCCACGTAAACATAACAGTCTGCAATGAAATGGTTGTCTCCTGTGCGCTTCACTTCCTCCTTGGCGCACCGGTAACTTTCTCAACAAAAAAAAGTGCGCACGAGTTAGTAAAAAAAAAGTCAGGATAACGAGTTAGTATCTCTAACTCGTTATCCTGACTTTTTTTTTTCTCTCTCTGTTTTTTTAATTTGTTGTACATGTCCCTTTAGGGGCTCCGTAGGAACGTGTTTATCTTGTGCAATCATTCAAAGGAATGGACAGTGGAAGTGATTATGCACCATCAAAGAACCCTGTGTGTCGTCAACGTGTAAACATGTTGATATCAAATATCATGTTGTTCGACCTGCAGTTAGTGAAGGGAACATTATTATTGAATACTGCCCAACAACAGAAATGGTAGCTGATATTTTAACCAAGCCTGGAACAAAGGGCATGATTGAAAAGTTTGTGTATTTCATTTTTGGTGTTGAAGGTTAAAATGAAAAGAAAGTGTAAATGTATGTCAAAGGTTGTCAGAATAAGATCAAGTGGGGGTGTTGAACTGTTGTGAACGATTCATCTCTTGAATGCTCTTATGCTGACGTCATATCTGTCAATCTGTCAATCTGTCAATCACACAGCTGGTTCTAATGAAGGGATCATTGCTGGCTCACTCAGTCAGTGTCATGTGAACTACAATGCAAGTGTGTGGCGTCTTTTATTTCTCCGTAGTATTAGTCCAAGGCGATCTAGACCTTTACTGGTAATGGCTGCTGCGCCAACACTTCTCTGCGCCTCCGAGAGTAACAGCAAAGTTAGGTCTGACCTGGAGCAGTTTGTGTCCAGTGTCCCCCTGCACGCTCTTTCATCTCTCTGGAAAGTAGTCCACTCACAATCTGACAATAATCGCACATATTGCTCGAAGTCTACACGAACATCTCCGGCCGGTGTTGGGCTTGGGTCGCAGACGTTCAGGCGTTGTTTAAAGGCCAATCTCCGCGTGGTAACGAGACACATTGTGTACCAAAAGCGTCCAGTGCATCTTATATCCCCACTGCAATAACGATGGCAGTTACAACGGGTGTATGTGAGCTTAGATGTTAAAAAAGGTGAGCGAGTTCCTCTCACCACTCATGCGTGGCCGCCATAACACACACACACACACACATACACACACACACACACACACACACACATATACACAGTTACACACACACACACACACACACACACACACACACACATACACAGTTACACACACACACACACACACACACACACATATACACAGTTACACACACACACGCACACACACACACGCACACACACAAACACACATATTATAATAGTACAGTATCAGACTCACCATGGCCTGCTCAATTTTGTTGTCGATGGCAACCAGCTCTCTACTGCAGAGAGAGAGACAGGTGAGAGACAGACAGGTGAGAGACAGGTGAGAGACAGACAGAGAGACAGACAGGTGAGAGACAGACAGGGAGACAGACAGGTGAGAGACAGACAGAGAGACAGACAGGTGAGAGACAGACAGGTGAGAGACAGATAGGTGAGAGACAGACAGGTGAGAGACAGACAGGTGAGAGACAGACAGAGAGACAGACAGGTGAGAGACAGACAGGGAGACAGACAGTTGAGAGACAGACAGGTGAGAGACAGACAGAGAGACAGACAGAGAGACAGACAGGTGAGAGACAGACAGGTGAGAGACAGACAGGTGAGAGACAGACAGAGAGACAGACAGGTGAGAGACAGACAGACAGACAGACAGACAGTTGAGAGACAGGTGAGAGACAGACAGGTGAGAGACAGACAGAGAGACAGACAGAGAGACACACAGGTGAGAGACAGACAGGTGAGAGACAGACAGAGAGACAGACAGTTGAGAGACAGGTGAGAGACAGACAGGTGAGAGACAGACAGAGAGACACACAGGTGAGAGACAGACAGGTGAGAGACAGACAGAGAGACAGACAGTTGAGAGACAGGTGAGAGACAGACAGAGAGACAGACAGAGAGACAGACAGGTGAGAGACAGACAGAGAGACAGACAGAGAGACAGGTGAGAGACAGACAGAGAGACAGACGGGCTGTCTCACTTCCTGAACCGAAGCCCCGCCCCCTCACAGGGTCGCCATGGTTACCTGTGGCAGAGCAGCATCAGTGACATCATGCTGGCCTCAGAGCCCCGCCCACTGGGAGGAGCTCTGACAGGGACGGACCAATGAGAGGCAGCCGGAGGGGGGGCGGCGCCCGGCCAGGACTCCCTGCTGCCGGTCACATGACCTCTGACCCTCCTCCGCTCCCGCAACACCACCATCTCTGGTTGCTTAGCAACAAGCTTTAGCATCCTGAGGGGGAGGGGGGGGGTGGAGGGGTGGCGGCGCAGAGGACGAGGACAGGGGGGGGCGTCAGGGGGGGGGGTCAGGGGTCATCTTCTTTACACCAAACATCAACCAATCACAGCGTCAACAGGACAGTCCAATCAGGACTCGGCTACAGACTGAGGAACCTTCCAGTCCCTCCTTAAGGTCTGATGTCCCTCGTTAAGGCCTGACTTCCCTCGTTAAGGTCTGACGCCCCTCCTTAAGGTCTGACGTGCCTCGTTAAGGTCTGACTTCCCTCGTTAAGGTCTGACGTGCCTCGTTAAGGTCTGACTTCCCTCGTTAAGGCCTGACTTCCCTTGTTAAGGTCTGAAGCCCCTCCTTAAGGCCTGATGTCCCTCCTTAAGGCCTGACTTCCCTCGTTAAGGTCTGACGCCCCTCCTTAAGGCCTGACTTCCCTCGTTAAGGCCTGACGTCCCTCGTTAGGAAATGACATCCCTCGTTAAGGCTTGACGTCCCTCCTTATGAACTGACGTCCCTCCTTAAGGTCTGACGTCCCTCCTTAAGGTCTGACGTCCCTCCTTAAAGTCTGACGTCCCTCCTTAAAGTCTGACGTCCCTCCTTAAGGTCTGACGTCCCTCCTTAAAGTCTGACGTCCCTCCTTAAGGTCTGACGTCCCTCCTTAAAGTCTGACGTCCCTCCTTACGGTCTGACGTCCCTCCTTAAGGTCTGACGTCCCTCCTTAAGGTCTGACGTCCCTCCTTAAAGTCTGACGTCCCTCCTTACGGTCTGACGTCCCTCCTTAAGGTCTGACGTCCCTCCTTAAGGTCTGACGTCCCTCCTTAAAGTCTGACGTCCCTCCTTAAAGTCTGACGTCCCTCCTTAAGGTCTGACGTCCCTCCTTAAAGTCTGACGTCCCTCCTTAAGGTCTGACGTCCCTCCTTAAAGTCTGACGTCCCTCCTTAAGGTCTGACGTCCCTCCTTAAAGTCTGACGTCCCTCCTTAAGATCTGACGTCCCTCCTTAAGGTCTGACGTCCCTCCTTAAGGTCTGACGTCCCTCCTTAAAGTCTGACGTCCCTCCTTAAGGTCTGACGTCCCTCCTTAAAGTCTGACGTCCCTCCTTAAGGTCTGACGTCCCTCCTTAAAGTCTGACGTCCCTCCTTAAGATCTGACGTCCCTCCTTAAGGTCTGACGTCCCTCCTTAAGATCTGACGTCCCTCGATAAGTGAATCTGTCTCTCAGGATGTTCACATGTGAAACTTAAACTCAAAACAACGTTTTTTCTCTCTCTCTCTCCCACACGCTCTCACTCTGCTCTGTGATTGGCTGCCCTCTCATACCTCTCACTGTACCGGCCAATAGGAAAGCTTCAGTGGGATTCTGCTCCACCCACTCAGTGAGCATTAAACAGAGCTCCATTCATTGGTTCAGATGTACTGTTTATTTTCTACATGAGGCATCAAACATATATATTTTTAAAGTATTTGTGAAATATATGTATATAAATATACAAATAAATGTAACAGTTATATAATAAGTGCCTCTTTAATGTGTAGTTAATTAATCTATGCTGCAAATAAAGCATTAGGTGACATAAGGATTGATTTAGTTCCAGGGTTCAGACCAGTCTCTGGTTAGGATGTACTGTGTATTAGTACTGTGTATTAGTACAGAGTATTAGTACAGAGTATTAGTACAGAGTATTAGTACAGAGTATTAGTACATAGTATTAGTACAGAGTATTAGTACATAGTATTAGTACAGAGTATTAGTACATAGTATTAGTACATAGTATTAGTACAGAGTATTAGTACAGAGTATTAGTACATAGTATTAGTACAGAGTATTAGTACAGAGTATTAGTACATAGTATTAGTACAGAGTATTAGTACATAGTATTAGTACAGAGTATTAGTACAGAGTATTAGTACATAGTATTAGTACAGAGTATTAGTACATAGTATTAGTACAGAGTATTGGTACATAGTATTAGTACAGAGTATTAGTACATAGTATTAGTACAGAGTATTAGTACAGAGTATTAGTACATAGTATTAGTACAGAGTATTAGTACATAGTATTAGTACAGAGTATTAGTACAGAGTATTAGTACATAGTATTAGTACAGAGTATTAGTACATAGTATTAGTACAGAGTATTGGTACATAGTATTAGTACAGAGTATTAGTACATAGTATTAGTACAGAGTATTAGTACAGAGTATTAGTACAGAGTATTAGTACATAATAATAACTTGAATTTATATAGCGCCTTTCATAACCTCAAGGTCGCTTTACAAAGAAACAATACAAGGACAAGACATAAAACATACAAACATAAAAACATAGTTTTAGTACAGAGTATTAGTCCAACATAGTATTAGTACATACATCATAGTATTATTTTAACAGAACGCAGTAACACACACACACACACACACACTCTGGGAGGTCAGCTGATTGAACAGAGGCGCTTTGTGTTCACTGGTGCTGAGCTGTTCTATAACCAGGGTCGGCTCTAGAACAAATCGAATGGGGGGGCAATCATTTACCACGGGGGGGGGGGGGCACACACTGCCGTCAACAACCAACACACAAACACCAACGCAACTTCAATTAAAAAACATGCTGTAAAGTGTGTTGTCTCTCACACACATTGCAGGGTGTAGTGCTGTTGTACAGCGCACCTATGACCTGTGACCTGTGACCTGTGACCTATGACCTGTGACCTGTGACCTGTGCAGACGTGCACGGTTGAGGCACGACCACCAAAACAGAAACATATGGACATAGGCCACCATATAAAAAGGGTGCAAATGTATTTAGTATCCTATCCATGTGAACATGTTTTAGGTGGGGGGTGGACCTCACCTCCTCTAGGAGGGGTCTGGGGGCATGCTGCCCCGGGAAGATTATTTTTAAAATATTGAAGTTAAAAGCATCAATCTGGTGCACTTTGAGAGCAACATGAAGAGATCTATGGAAACATCTCTCAGCACCCAGATGAAACACAACTGTACACAGATTTACTTTTTCTTTATGGATATTGTACTAACCACTCCCCTTTAAACTGTATTCTTGTGTTACTGTCCTATAGTATTTCATACCCGTTTTTCATTTATTCTCTTATTCTTTAATAACTATAATGATCATATAAAGGTGTTCCTCGCAAATACTTGTTTACATAAATGGTGTCCAAACCGTTTGAGACCCACTGAGATAACCTACACTAAAGTGAACTATCTAAACACTGAGAGTCCTTACCTCACTGAGCTGAGGTTATACGATCCTCTCAGTCTGACAGGAGAGGACTGTCCTCCACCTTGGTGTAGAAACAGCTCTTTATATCCGTTAGCATAGCTAGCTAACCAGATGCTAACAACAACATTCCACGTTACCGCTCGCGCACTCACAAAATGCGATCGTGCCACACACACACACACACACAAACACACACACACACAAACACACACCACACACACACACGGAGCCGAGCTTGAATGAAACACAGAGACCCAGAAGTAGGCTACTTGTACTATATATCATATTATTTCTGATGGCTTTACTGTATAATCAGTTTAACAGATCGCCGCTGGGCTTTCATCTAAACACACAGCCACGTAATAGAGAACCGCAGTGACGCGTCCTAAAACCCGGAAGTAAGTTAGCATTTTTACCACATCCGGTTCCTTCAATAAAAAGCAAAGCATTTTCTCCATAGGGTTTTGGAAAATAGCTCCAAATAAGGTCTGTGTTTGACTCAAATTGAAGAGACGGATCACGTTTTGTTCTACGACATTAAATCCATCAGCAGTGACCCCACTGGTGATTTCTGAAGAGTTGACGTGTCTGAGAAACGATGGTTGTTACCAAGCGGCTGAATAGGACTACAGAAGTTGTCCAGGCCGTTTTACGTCATTACGCCGAACACGTAAAACACTCCCGCTAAGTTTGTTTGCCCTGTTCTGCTTGAAAGCAAGTCTCTGCCTCCTGCAAAGTGTTCAAACAAACACTTCAACTCGTACCATTTACAATCTGTACGTGACGTTGAAGCAGCGACCCTGCTGTAGTTCCTTTATAGCAGTGTTTCTCAAACTTTTTCAATCCAAGGACTTAACCAATAAAAAAACACTCGCGGACCACCTAACTCCACAAATATCCCAAAACACATCGTTTTTCTAGAACAGATTACAAATCGCCTGAAAATGGTACAAACAGGCGGCTACATGTGTGACAAAGGTGTTGCACTTGGCTATATCATACAATCGAAAGTGAAACTTAAGCTCGCTCCATTGCGGAGATATTCCCGCGAGAGTGCGGAAAACTTACATTTATTCATTTATTTCAAATGTGAAATGTTACCAATATACTCACGGACCACTAGGGGGCGCTCACCGGTGGACCAGTGTTCCGTGGACCACACTTTGAGAAGCACTGCTTTATAGCATAACGTTAGCATTTTACTTCTTGCGACTAGATTTATGCTTGGAAAATGATAAAAGTAGACATGTGGAGATGATCCGGCTGAACAAAACGTGATCAATGTGTTTCAACCACAGACCTGATTTCCAGCTATTTTCCTAAATCCTACGGAGAGATCTCATTGCGTCTTTGACGAAGGAACCGGAAGGAGTTTACATCCGGGTTTTAGGACGCCTCACTGCGGTTCTCTATGATAATAAAACAAAGGTCGGAGTCATTGGTCAAGCAACACACCAATCAGAGAGCAGCAGTGAGCTGTGTTTTATATTTGTATTCTTTATTTCTGATGTATTTCACACAAAAAACCTTCAGTGGAAACGTTTTCACTTATATGATTAAAAAAATAAAACGGCAAAGTGGCAAGGCTTGCCCACCCTGCGTTGGGAGGGCACAGTGACTCATTTGGGGGGGGCATGGCCCGCGAATGACCCCCCATGACGCCGACCTTGTCTATAACTCACACTGAACCATCATATAGAGTATATGGAATGAAATCAAAAGGAGCTACCTGGCGTCCCCCGGCAGGTCGAACATGGTCCGGTCCAGACAGAAGACTGATGGAGTCTGAGTGGGATGGTACGATCCAACAGGGGGGGAGCTGGGCTGAGAGTGAGACAGCCTGAGGACAGACTGACAGAGAGACAGACAGGTGAGAGACAGACAGGTGAGAGACAGACAGGTGAGAGACGGACAGGTGAGAGACAGACAGGTGAGGGACAGGTGAGAGACAGATAGGTGAGAGACAGACAGGTGAGAGACAGGTGAGAGAGAGACAGGTGAGCGACATACAGGTGAGAGACAGGTGAGAGAGAGAGACAGGTGAGAGACAGACAGGTGAGAGACAGGTGAGAGACAGACAGGTGAGAGACAGACAGGTGAGAGACAGACAGGTCCGAGACGGACAGGGGAGAGACAGACAGGTGAGAGACAGACAGGTGAGAGACAGAGAGGTGAGAGACGGACAGGGGAGAGACAGACAGGTGAGAGAGAGACAGGTGAGAGACAGACAGATGAGAGACAAACAGGTGAGAGACAGACAGGTGAGAGAGAGACAGGTGAGAGAGAGACAGGTGAGAGACAGACAGGGGAGAGACAGACAGGTGAGAGACACAGGTGAGAGACAGACAGGGGAGAGACAGACAGGTGAGAGACAGACAGGTGAGAGAGAGACAGGTGAGAGACAGACAGGTGAGAGACAGACAGGTGAGAGACAGAGAGGTGAGAGAGAGACAGGTGAGAGACAGACAGATGAGAGACAAACAGGTGAGAGACAGACAGGTGAGAGAAAGACAGGTGAGAGAAAGACAGGTGAGAGACAGACAGGTGAGAGAAAGACAGGTGTGAGACAGACAGGTGTGAGACAAACAGGTGAGAGAGAGACAGGTGAGAGACAGACAGGTGAGAGACGGACAGGTGAGAGACAGACAGGTGAGAGACAGACAGGTGAGAGAGAGACAGGGGAGAGACAGACAGGTGAGAGACAGACAGGTGAGAGACAGAGAGGTGAGAGAGAGACAGGTGAGAGACAGACAGGTGAGAGACGGACAGGTGAGAGACAGACAGGTGAGAGACAGACAGGTGAGAGACAGACAGGTGAGAGACTGACAGGTGAGAGACTGACAGGTGATAGACAGACAGGTGAGAGACAGATAGGTGAGAGAGAGACAGGTGAGAGACAGATAGGTAAGAGACAGACAGGTGAGAGACTGACAGGTGAGAGACAGACAGGTGAGAGAGAGACAGGTGAGAGAGAGACAGGAGAGAGAGAGACAGGTGAGAGAGAGACAGGTGAGAGACAGACAGGTGAGAGAGAGACAGGTGAGAGAGAGACAGGAGAGAGAGAGACAGGTGAGAGACAGACAGGTGAGAGAGAGACAGGTGAGAGACAGACAGGTGAGAGAGAGACAGGTGAGAGACAGACAGGTGAGAGACTGACAGGTGATAGACTGACAGGTGAGAGACAAACAGGTGAGAGACAGACAGGTGAGAGACAGACAGGTGAGAGAGAGACAGGTGAGAGAGAGACAGGAGAGAGAGAGACAGGTGAGAGACAGACAGGTGAGAGACAGACAGGTGAGAGACAGACAGGTGAGAGACAGACAGGTGAGGGACAGACAGGTGAGAGAGAGACAGGTGAGAGACAGACAGGTGAGAGAGAGACAGGTGAGAGGGAGACAGGTGAGAGAGAGACAGGTGAGAGAGAGACAGGTGAGAGACAGACAGGTGAGAGAGAGACAGGTGAGAGACCGACAGGTGAGAGACAGACAGGTGAGAGAGAGACAGGTGAGAGACTGACAGGTGATAGACTGACAGGTGAGAGACAGACAGGTGAGAGAGAGACAGGTGAGAGACAGACAGGTTAGAGAGAGACAGGTGAGAGACAGACAGGTGAGAGACAGACAGGTGAGAGAGAGACAGGTGAGAGACCGACAGGTGAGAGACCGACAGGTGAGAGACAGACAGGTGAGAGAGAGACAGGTGAGAGACCGACAGGTGAGAGAGAGACAGGTGAGAGACAGAGCTTGAGGATCTCTCTAGCCGTACCCTGCCTGCAGAGTCCACGTCCAATCGCAGTGGAGGAGGGACGTTCCGTGGGCGGGGTGAAGGAGGGGGAGGGGCGGAGTTTAAACTCTGAGCTACCATTGGCTCTTGGTGTGTCAGTGAGAGCGGCCTGCTGCGAGGTACAAGCCCCGCCCCCTCTTGGCCTCTGATTGGCCGAGTCAGCAGGTGAGCACTGTCCTGGGTGTAGACTGCGCCTCTGTCCACATCTCGGCCAATCATCTCCAGGGACTCCAGGGAGTGGGCGTGTCTCATGGTGTCCATGACGCACCTAAGCCCCGCCCCTTCCTGTCGCTCCTGGATGTCGGTGCAGGTCCATCGCCCGCGGCGATATGGCTGGCCCCGCCCCCCTGCCCCCAGGACCAACCGCACCACCCGGAACCTGGAGGCCCCGCCCCCCTGCCCCGCCGCATCATGGGACACGTGTTTCCTCTTCAGGGAGGGCGTGGTTGGCTGGGAGGAGCTTCTCTGAGCAGATTGGACCACAGTCAGCACCATGCTGGGAGCTGATTGGCCGGCTGGAGTCTGGTTAAAGTCCGAAGTCACACTGGTGATCTGGAAGCCACTCCTCTTTTTCCCGCCACTCATCCTCACACACACACACACACACACACACACACACACACACACACACACAGAGAGAGAAAGACTCTGAAACACAGAGAAAATATAAAACTGTTATTGTCCCTGATGAGGACCGGAGACTGAGTGTGAGGTGTGTGCGTGTGTGTGTGTGTGCATGTGTGTGTGTGTGTGTGTGTGTGTGTGTGTGTGTGTGTGTGCATGTGTGGTGTGTGTGTGTGTGTGTGTGTGTGTGTGTGTGTGTGTGTGTGTGTGTGTGTGTGTGTGTGTGCATGTGTGCGTGTGTGTGTGTGTGTGTGTGTGTGTGTGTGTGTGTGTGTGTGTGTGTGTGTGTGTACAGCTGCAGGTAGTTGAAGGTAACCTGTCTCACCTCTCTTTCTGTCTCTCTCTCTTGTCAGGGTCAGTGTCTCTCGCCCGCAGCTATGCTCTCAGTTTATCTGTTTCCTGTTTCCTCACACTGTTAAGCAACCTGTGTGTGTGTGTGTGTGTGTGTGTGTGTGTGTGTGTGTGTGTGTGTGTGTGTGTGTGTGTGTGTGTGTGTGTGTGTGTGTGTGTGTGTGGTTCAGGTTCTTCAGGCTCTGTTGAAACACTGCATGTCGTCAAAGATTATTGTTATTAACCCCTAAACTGCAGGCTATTTATAAACTCTAACTTTACACACTCTTATAATAATAAGACTTTATTAAACTTTATGAACAACAGCTCTCTGCCCTCTGACGTCACCGTTGTAAACAAACACTCACGTTCACAAGCCCAGCTGATGCGCGCTTCCGGGTGTGACGTCACAATAAATCCATTGTTTAGAAAACAGCCACGGACTGCGCATGCGCGCTCGGAAGTTCAGCGAAGTCCTTCAAGTCCTTCTTCTGCAGATTTATTTCAGTTTAAAGTCCTCTGAAGATCCGAGAAGCTTCTTCTACAGAAACACTCCTTCTCTCCATCCTCCCCACGCTGCTGCGCGCGGCCGACAGGGAGGCGCCTGCGCAGTGGGAGAGAAGGGGGGCGTGTACTTTAGCTCAGAGATCAGAACACATACAGCAGGAGGTTTTCATTTGTCATAGGAACAGAGCTACAGTGTCATTTCATGTAGGACTCTTTAAAGTAGAGACACTACACACTGATATACACCTGAACATCAGCAGGAGAGAACTCTTTAAAGTAGAGACACTACATACTGATATACACCTGAACATCAGCAGGAGAGGACTCTTTAAAGTAGAGACACTACATACTGATATACACCTGAACATCAGCAGGAGAGGACTCTTTAAAGTAGAGACACTACATACTGATATACACCTGAACATCAGCAGGAGAGGACTCTTTAAAGTAGAGACACTATATACTGATATACACCTGAACATCAGCAGGAGAGGACTCTTTAAAGTAGAGACACTACATACTGATATACACCTGAACATCAGCAGGAGAGGACTCTTTAAAGTAGAGACACTACATACTGATATACACCTGAACATCAGCAGGAGAGCACTCTTTAAAGTAGAGACACTACATACTGATACACACCTGAACATCAGCAGGAGACGACTCTTTAAAGTAGAGACACTACATACTGATATACACCTGAACATCAGCAGGAGAGGACTCTTTAAAGTAGAGACACTACATACTGATATACACCTGAACATCAGCAGGAGAGGACTCTTTAAAGTAGAGACACTACATACTGATATACACCTGAACATCAGCAGGAGAGGACTCTTTAAAGTAGAGACACTACATACTGATATACACCTGAACATCAGAAGGAGAGGACTCTTTAAAGTAGAGACACTACATACTGATATACACCTGAACATCAGCAGGAGAAGACTCTTTAAAGTAGAGACACTACATACTGATATACACCTGAACATCAGCAGGAGAGGACTCTTTAAAGTAGAGACACTACATACTGATATACACCTGAGCATCAGCAGGAGAGGACTCTTTAAAGTAGAGACACTACATACTGATATACACCTGAACATCAGCAGGAGAGGACTCTTTAAAGTAGAGACACTACATACTGATATACACCTGAACATCAGCAGGAGAGGACTCTTTAAAGTAGAGACACTACATACTGATATACACCTGAACATCAGCAGGAGAGGACTCTTTAAAGTAGAGACACTACATACTGATACACACCTGAACATCAGCAGGAGACGACTCTTTAAAGTAGAGACACTACATACTGATACACACCTGAACATCAGCAGGAGACGACTCTTTAAAGTAGAGACACTACATACTGATATACACCTGAACATCAGCAGGAGAGCACTCTTTAAAGTAGAGACACTACATACTGATATACACCTGAACATCAGCAGGAGAGGACTCTTTAAAGTAGAGACACTACATACTGATATACACCTGAACATCAGCAGGAGAGGACTCTTTAAAGTAGAGACACTACATACTGATACACACCTGAACATCAGCAGGAGAGGACTCTTTAAAGTAGAGACACTACATACTGATATACACCTGAACATCAGCAGGAGAGGACTCTTTAAAGTAGAGACACTACATACTGATATACACCTGAACATCAGCAGGAGAGGACTCTTTAAAGTAGAGACACTACATACTGATATACACCTGAACATCAGCAGGAGAGGACTCTTTAAAGTAGAGACACTACATACTGATATACACCTGAACATCAGCAGGAGAGGACTCTTTAAAGGAGAGACACTACATACTGATATACACCTGAACATCAGCAGGAGAGGACTCTTTAAAGTAGAGACACTACATACTGATATACACCTGAACATCAGCAGGAGAGGACTCTTTAAAGTAGAGACACTACATACTGATATACACCTGAACATCAGCAGGAGAGGACTCTTTAAAGTAGAGACACTACATACTGATATACACCTGAACATCAGCAGGAGAGGACTCTTTAAAGTAGAGACACTACATACTGATATACACCTGAACATCAGCAGGAGAGGACTCTTTAAAGTAGAGACACTACATACTGATATACACCTGAACATCAGCAGGAGAGGACTCTTTAAAGTAGAGACACTACATACTGATATACACCTGAACATCAGCAGGAGAGGACTCTTTAAAGTAGAGACACTACATACTGATATATGCCTGAACATCAGCAGGAGAGGACTCTTTAAAGTAGAGACCCTACATACTGATATACACCTGAACATTAGCAGGAGAGGACTCTTTAAAGTAGAGACGGTACATACTGATATACACCTGAACATCAGCAGGAGAGGACTCTTTAAAGTAGAGACACTACATACTGATATACACCTGAACATCAGCAGGAGAGGACTCTTTAAAGTAGAGACTCTACATACTGATATACACCTGAACATCAGCAGGAGAGGACTCTTTAAAGTAGAGACACTACATACTGATATACACCTGAACATCAACAGGAGAGGACTCTTTAAAGTAGAGACGCTACATATTGATATACACCTGAACATCAGCAGGAGAGACTCTTTAAAGTAGAGACACTACATACTGATATACACCTGAACATCAGCAGGAGAGGACTCTTTAAAGTAGAGACACTACATACTGATATACACCTGAACATCAGCAGGAGAGGACTCTTTAAAGTAGAGACACTACATACTGATATACACCTGAACATCAGCAGGAGAGGACTCTTTAAAGTAGAGACACTACACACTGATATACACCTGAACATCAGCAGGAGAGGACTCTTTAAAGTAGAGACACTACATACTGATATACACCTGAACATCAGCAGGAGAGGACTCTTTAAAGTAGAGACACTACATACTGATATACACCTGAACATCAGCAGGAGAGGACTCTTTAAAGTAGAGACACTACATACTGATATACACCTGAACATCAGCAGGAGAGGACTCTTTAAAGTAGAGACACTACATACTGATATACACCTGAACATCAGCAGGAGAGGACTCTTTAAAGTAGAGACACTACATACTGATATACACCTGAACATCAGCAGGAGAGGACTCTTTAAAGTAGACACACTACATACTGATATACACCTGAACATCAGCAGGAGAGGACTCTTTAAAGTAGAGACACTACATACTGATATACACCTGAACATCAGCAGGAGAGGACTCTTTAAAGTAGAGACTCTACATACTGATATACACCTGAACATCAGCAGGAGAGGACTCTTTAAAGTAGAGACACTACATACTGATATACACCTGAACATCAGCAGGAGAGGACTCTTTAAAGTAGAGACATTACATACTGACATACACCTGAACATCAGCAGGAGACGACTCTTTAAAGTAGAGACACTACATACTGATATACACCTGAACATCAGCAGGAGAGGACTCTTTAAAGTAGAGACACTACATACTGATATACACCTGAACATCAGCAGGAGAGGACTCTTTAAAGTAGAGACACTACATACTGATATACACCTGAACATCAGCAGGAGAGGACTCTTTAAAGTAGAGACGCTACATACTGATATACACCTGAACATCAGCAGGAGAGGACTCTTTAAAGTAGACACACTACATACTGATATACACCTGAACATCAGCAGGTGAGGACTCTTTAAAGTAGAGACACTACATACTGATATACACCTGAACATCAGCTGGAGAGGACTCTTTAAAGTAGAGACACTACATACTGATATACACCTGAACATCAGCAGGAGAGGACTCTTTAAAGTAGAGACACTACATACTGATATACACCTGAACATCAGCAGGAGAGGACTCTTTAAAGTAGAGACACTACATACTGATATACACCTGAACATCAGCAGGAGAGGACTCTTTAAAGTAGAGACACTACATACTGATATACACCTGAACATCAGCAGGAGAGGACTCTTTAAAGTAGAGACACTACATACTGATATACACCTGAACATCAGCAGGAGAGGACTCTTTAAAGTAGAGACACTACATACTGATATACACCTGAACATCAGCAGGAGAGGACTCTTTAAAGTAGAGACACGACATACTGATATACACCTGAACATCAGCAGGAGAGGACTCTTTAAAGTGGAGACACTACATACTGATATACACCTGAACATCAGCAGGAGAGGACTCTTTAAAGTAGAGACACTACATACTGATATACACCTGAACATCAGCAGGAGAGGACTCTTTAAAGTAGAGACACTACATACTGATATACACCTGAACATCAGCAGGAGAGGACTCTTTAAAGTAGAGGACACTACATACTGATATACACCTGAACATCAGCAGGAGAGGACTCTTTAAAGTAGAGACACTACATACTGATATACACCTGAACATCAGCAGGAGAGGACTCTTTAAAGTAGAGACACTACATACTGATATACACCTGAACATCAGCAGGAGAGGACTCTTAAAGTAGAGACTCTACATACTGATATACACCTGAACATCAGCAGGAGAGGACTCTTTAAAGTAGAGACACTACATACTGATATACACCTGAACATAAGCATGAGAGGACTCTTTAAAGTAGAGACACTACATACTGATATACACCTGAACATCAGCAGGAGAGGACTCTTTAAAGTAGAGGCACTACATACTGATATACACCTGAACATCAGCAGGAGAGGACTCTTTAAAGTAGAGACACTACATACTGATATACACCTGAACATCAGCAGGAGAGGACTCTTTAAAGTAGAGACTCTACATACTGATATACACCTGAACATCAGCAGGAGAGGACTCTTTAAAGTAGAGACACTACATACTGATATACACCTGAACATCAGCAGGAGAGGACTCTTGAAAGGAAGAGCTTCATCAGAGTAACTCATGACAGACACACAGCGGGAACCTCATGTATTTTATTAGAAATGTTACAACAACACTGAACCTGCTCGTACAGCTCTGCAAAGGATTGTGGTTCCGAAAAGAAGAGCTGCACATACTGGTACTTTGGCATTTCACATCTGTTCCCGCATCATAAACTGTGTTCGGGTCACATGACGGGTCACATGACGCTCTGAAGATAAAAGGATAACTGGAAGGAAGCTGTGCCTGTCAATCACCTGCAACATCTTCATGTGATCATTAATCACAACAAACATCATGTGATCTATGGGCCATGCTAGCACTGTTAGCATTGAAGCTCAGGCATTTAAGGTCAATTAAAAGACATATATAGTTCATATGAAGGTCTTTTAAAGGTCATATGAAGGTGAGGTGCTGGTGTTCATCGAGGCCGTATTTTTCTTTGTTCTTCTCGAACAGGTGGGTCAGACTCTGCAGGTAAATCTGATGCAGACCCTCAATGTCCTCTGAGCTGGGACTGGGATTCCGGACCAATGGGATGGGTTCTCCCACTGAAGAGCAGACAGGAAACAGAAACAAACTCAAAGCTTCAAAAACTCTCCTGAGCTGGTCAATGGTATATACTGGGCTAAAGTTGGGCTAATGCTGGGCTAATGTCAGGCTAATGCTGGGCTAATGTCAGGCTAATGCTGGGCTAAAGTCATGCCCAACACCTAGCCTGAAACTGGGGCTAACACTGGGCTCAAACTAGGATCACTCTGGGCTAATGCTAGCTTACTCTGGGCTAACACTAGGCTAAGGCTAGGCTCATTACATTACATTACATTGCATTTAGCTGACGCTTTTATCCAAAGCGACTTACAATAAGTGCGTTCGACCAACAAAATACAAACTTGAAGAAAACAGAACATCAGGCTTCATAGAGCAAAAACATTTCAAGTGCTACTCAACTGGCTTTAGATAAGCCAGTCCTTTATTAGTATATAAGTGCTTTGTTAATAGTTCTATCGCTCGAAGTGGAGTCGAAAGAGATGAGTTTTCAGTCTGGAAGGTGTGTAAGCTATCTGCTGTCCTGATGTCAATGGGGAGCTCATTCCACCATCTTGGAGCCAGGACAGCAAACCCACGTGTTTCTGCTGATGGGAACTTTGGTCCCCCTCGCAGCGAGGGTGCAGCGAGTCGTTTGGCTGATGCAGAGCGTAGTGCACACGCTGGGGTGTACGGTTTAACCATGTCCTGGATGTACGAAGGGCCAGATCCATTCGCAGCATGGTAAGCAAGTACCAGTGTCTTGAAGTGGATTCTAGCAGTTACTAGAAGCCAGGGAAGGGAGCGGAGGAGCGGAGTGGTGTGGGAACATTTAGGAAGGTTGAAGACCAGACGAGCCGCTGCATTCTGGATGAGCTGCAGAGGTCGGATGGCACATGCAGGTAGACCAGCCAGGAGGGAGTTGCAGTAGTCGGGGAAACAACTGAGGTGCCGATGTTGATTGTTAGGTCAAGAGTGGGACAATCTTTTCCCGGGAGGAAGAGCAGCTCAGTCTTGTCAAGGTTGAGCTTGAGGTGATGATCAGACATCCACTGAGAGATGTCAGCTAGACAAGAAAAGATGCGTGCGACGGCCTGGGTCTCTGAGCGGGGAAAGGACAGAATTAATTGGGTGTCGTCAGCGTAGCAGTGGTAAGAAAAACCATGCGGGCTAATGACTGATCCGAGCGAGTTTGTGTACAGGGAGAAGAGGAGGGGACCAAGAACAGAGCCCTGAGGGACCCCTGTAGTTAATTGACAAGGGTCGGACTCAGACCCTCTCCAAGTCACCCTGTAGGTACGGTCTTTGAGGTATGAGGTGAGGAGGGAAAGTGCAGAGCCTGAAACTCCAAGTTTTTGGAGAGTGCGAAGGAGGATCTGATGATTCACCGTGTCGAATGCAGCAGACAGGTCCAATAGGATGATGACAGAGGAGAGGGATGCAGTTTTGGCAGTGTGCAGTTCCTCCGTGACAGCAATGAGAGCAGTTTCTGTGGAGTGACCTGCCTTGAAACCAGACTGGTGCGGATCCAGAAGGTTGTTCTGATTGAGATAACAGGAGAGTTGTCTAAAGACAGCGCGTTCAAGTGATTTAGACAGGAACGGGAGGAGAGAGACAGGCCTGTAGTTTATAACATCAGACGGGTTGAGAGTGGGTTTCTTTAGGAGAGGGTTTACTCTTGCCTCCTTGAGACTGTTTGGAAAGTGACCAGAAGTTAGAGAAGTGTTGATGAAATGGGTGAGAAACGGTAGAATATCAGGAGCGATAGTCTGAAGGAGGTTTGAAGGGATAGGGTCCAGAGGACAGGTGGTAGGGCGGGCAGAGGTAATGAGGGTAAGAACCTCACTTGGAGAGAGAGGGGAGGAGGTCAGTGTGTGGGTGGAAGGAAGGTCTGGTGACCCAGCGGTGAGTAAAGGTGAGTCAGAAAAAGAAGAGCGAATATCATCAACCTTTTTTTCAAAGTGGGTAACAAAGTCGCTTGACAGAAGTGAGGAGGGGGGAGGAGGCTTTGGGGGGGTCCAGGAGGGAGGAGGGGGAAGGGGCTTTGGGGAGGGTCCAAGAGGGAGGAGGGGAAGGGGCTTTGGGAGGGTCCAGGAGGGAGGAGGGGGAAGGGGGCTTTGGGAGGGTCCAAGAGGGTGGAGGGGGAAGGGGCTTTGGGAGGGTCCAGGAGGAGGACGGGGGAAGGGGCTTTGGGAGGGTCCAGGAGGGAGGAGGGGGAAGGGCGCTTTGGGGGGGTCCAGGAGGGAGGAGGGGAAGGGGCTTTGGGAGGGTCCAGGAGGGAGGAGGGGGAAGGGGCTTTGGGAGGGTCCAGGAGGGAGGAGGGGGAAGGGGCTTTGGGGGGTCCAAGAGGGAGGAGGGGGAAGGGGCTTTGGGAGGGTCCAAGAGGGAGGAGGGGGAAGGGGCTTTGGGGGGTCCAAGAGGGAGGAGGGGGAAGGGGCTTTGGGGGGGTCCAGGAGGGAGGAGGGGGAAGGGGGCTTTGGGGGGGGTCCAAGAGGGAGGAGGCGGGGAAGGGGCTTTTGGGGGGGTCCAAGAGGGGGAGGAGGGGAAGGGGCTTTGGGGGGGTCCAAGAGGGAGGAGGGGGAAGGGGCTTGGGGGGGTCCAAGAGGGAGGAGGGGGAAGGGGCTTTGGTAGGGTCCAAGAGGGTGGAGGGGGAAGGGGCTTTGGGGGGGTCCAAGAGGAGGAGGGGGAGGAAGGGGCTTTGGGGGGTCCAAGAGGGAGGAGGGGGAAGGGGCTTTGGGAGGGTCCAGGAGGGAGGAGGGGGAAGGGGCTTTGAGAGGGTCCAAGAGGGAGGAGGGGGAAGGGGCTTTGGGGGGGTCCAAGAGGGAGGAGGGGGAAGGGGCTTTGGGGGGGTCCAAGAGGGAGGAGGGGGAAGGGGCTTGGGGGGGTCCAAGAGGGAGGAGGGGGGAGGGGCTTTGGGGGGTCCCAGGAGGGAGGCAGCAGAATGAATGGAAAATAGTTTTTTAGGATGGAATAGGAAGATTGGATCTTATCTAGAAAGAAAGTGCTTTTTGCCTGAGAGATGGAAGCAGAGAAAGAGGAGAGGAGAGCCTGATAGGTTAGGAGGTCGTCACGGTGTTTGGATTTCCACCATTTCCGCTCTGCTGCCCTAAGGACGGTTATATTAGCACGCAGTGCATCATTTAGCCAGGGAGCCGGAGGGGACTGACGAGCCTGCCGAGATGTGAGAGGACAGAGAGAGTCCAGAGTGGATGAGAGAGTAGAGAGGAGAGTTTCTGCAGCAGAGTTTGAAGGCAGGAGTTGGAACGAGTCAGAGGAAGGGAGGGCTGAGAGCACCGACGAGGCAAAGGTAGAGGGGGAGAGGGAGCGAAGGTTACGGCGGACAAGTGCAGGATGAGAAGAGATTAGTTTGTTATGTTTGGAAAGGGGTAGAGAGAATGAAATGAAGAAGTGATCGGATGTGTGGAGCGGGTTTACAGAGAGGTTAGAAGTAGCGCAGTTCCTTGAGAATATGAGATCAAGGACATTGCCAGCTTTATGAGTCGGTGGGGACGGAGACAGTGAGAAAGCAAAGGCGGTTAACAGAGATGTTAGTTCGTCTATCTTCCCTGTCTGGAGGTTGAAGTCTCCGAGAAGTACAGCGGGAGGGCCAGTTTCAGGGATGAGTGAGAGGAGATTATCTAATTCCTCCAAGAAGTCCCCCAAGGCGCCTGGTGGACGGTAGAGAACAACAATGGTTAACTGTATAGGATGGGTTACTGTGACGGCATGGAACTCAAAGGTGGAAGGAGTGAAGTTAGGTAGCTTGAAGAGGGAAAATGTGTCTTTTATGTGAAGACACATAAAAGAGGAAAGAACACACTGGACCAGGTGTATTCTAACCTGAAGCTTGCTTACAGAGCGGTCCCACTCCCCCATTTAGGACTATCTGACCACCTCTCACTGCTTCTCATCCCAGCTTACACCCCCCTCAGAAGTAACACCAAGCCGGTGGTCAAATATATTAGAACCTGGCCCGAGGGGGCACTCTCACAACTGCAAGACTGCTTCGAACACACAGCATGGGACATATTTGAACAGACAGACTTGGAGGAACACACAGAGGCTGTCTTATCCTACATCAAGTTCTGCACAGACACTGTAACTGTGGAAAAACGCATACGGGTCTACCCAAACCAAAAGCCATGGATGACAAGAGCGGTGCGGTCTCTCCTGAGTTCCCTTGACACAGCCTTCACGTCGGGGGATGCTGCCCAGTACAGCTTGGCAGGGACGAATCTGAGGAGAGGCATCAAGGCTGCAAAGGAGGACTACAAGGGAAAAGTGGAGGAGAATCTCGCTCATAACAACACACGGTGTGTTTGGCAGGGCCTTCAACAGCTAACCAACTATAAGGGCAAAACATCTGACACTACTAGAGCTGACGCACAACTTGCAGAGGAACTAAACCACTTCTTTGCCCGCTTTGAGGCTAGCAGACCCCCCCACTGTTCTACTCTGCCCCTGTCCCTGCAAACTACCAGCTCCATACCACCTCCCACTCTCAAAGAACATCAGGTGAAGCAGACGCTGAAGTCTGTGAATCCTGGAAAAGCCGCAGGACCCGATGGAGTACTCGGAAAAGTACTCAAAGCTTGTGCTGACCAGCTTTCAGGGGTCCTGACCAGGTTATTCAACCTGTCCCTGTCACAAGCTTGCATTCCATCCTGTCTAAAAACGGCTACCATCATTCCTGTCCCCAAAAAGACACCAGTCAGAGAGCTCAACGACTACAGGCCCATAGCCCTAAACATCAGCGGTGATGAAATGTTTCGAAAGACTGATAGACGACTACATCAAAGCCAGCCTCCCACCCTCCCTCGACCCTCATCAGTTTGCCTATAGAGCCAACAGATCCACGGATGATGCCATCGCCACGGTCCTTCACACAGCTGTGAGCCACCTAGAAGGCCCAGGCAACTATATAAGGATGCTGTTTGTCGATTTTAGCTCAGCTTTTAACACCATCATACCTGACATACTAGTGGAAAAACTGTCAAGCCTAGGTTTCCCCTCCATCTTATGCGCCTGGATTAATAATTTCCTTACAGACCGTCCTCAGACAGTGAAAATAGGCCCTTATTGCTCCTCCACCCGCACCCTCAGCACTGGCTCCCTGCAGGGCTGCGTGCTGAGCCCTCTACTTTACACTCTCTACACACACACGGCTGCTCTCCCATTCACCCCTCCAACTCCATTATCAAATTTGCAGATGACACCACTGTGGTCGGCCAAATATATAAGGGAGACGACGAGTCGGCATACAGAGACGAGATCCTGAAGCTGTCTGCGTGGTGTTCAGCAAACAATCTGTATCTGAACACAAGCAAAACAAAATAAATCATCATAGACTTCAGAAAGCACCGTCCAGAACACGCCCCCCTTCACCTCAATGGAGAGAGAGTGGAGAGGGTCTCCACCTTTAAGTTCCTGGGGGTTCACATCTCGGAGAGCCTCAGCTGGACAGCACACACCACTGCAGCAGTTAAGAAGGCCCAGCAGCGACTTCACTTCCTGAGGGTGCTACGGAGGAACCGACTGAACAAGAAGCTGCTGGTGTCCTTCTACCGGGCGACCATCGAGAGCGTGCTGTCATACTCCATCTCCGGGTGGTATGCAGGATGCTCAGCTGCGGACAAGAAAGCCCTGCAGAGAGTGATCAGGATGGCAGAGAAAACCATCGGCTGCCCCCTGCCCTCTCTGGAACACATCTCCACCTCCCGCTGCCTCAACAGAGCTAACACGATCATAAAGGACAGCTCTCACCCGGGTCACAGACTGTTCTCTCTCCTGCCTTCAGGGAGGAGAGACAGGAGCTTCAAGTCACGGACAAACAGACTCAAAAACAGTTTCTACCCCTGGGCCGTCAGGCTGCTCAACCACCACACATAATGCATTAACTGTAACCATTCTCACACATACACACACTTTTAATGCACTTTATATACTATTTTTATATCAATATTTTAACTATTTATTCCCCCGTATGATTGTATGTTGTCTGTCCTATTGCAGTGTTTTTTAGTGTTACGTATTTGTTTGTATTTTTTGTACACCAGGACAGAGTTGCACTCTGAATCTCGTTATACTCTGTGTATAATGACAATAAAAGGCTTTAACTTTAACTTAACTTTAAACAGGAATGGAGAAAATACACATGATTATAGCATGAGGGGCTAAACAACCAAATAAAATAAAAACACCAGCGATACTTAGCTCAATCAAAGTAGGATTTGCCTCCTCTTTGCCTCCCTCGTGACTCCGCATGGGACTCATGTCTTGTCAGTCTTTGACTCCCAGCAGGACTCTAATGTCTTTGTCAGTCTTGACTCCAGCAGGACTCTAATGTCTTGTCAGTCTTTGACTCCAGCAGGACTAATGTCTTTGTCAGTCTTTGACTCCAGCAGGACTCTCCAATGTCTTTGTCAGTCTTTGACTCCAGCAGGACTCTAATGTCTTTGTCAGTCTTTGACTCCAGCAGGACTCTAATGTCTTTGTCAGTCTTTGACTCCAGTAGGACTCTAATGTCTTTGTCAGTCTTTGACTCCAGCAGGACTCCAATGTCTTTGTCAGTCTTTGACTCCAGCAGGACTCCAATGTCTTTGTCAGTCTTTGATCCCAGCAGGACTCTAATGTCTTTGTCAGTCTTTTGACCCAGCGGACTCAATGTCTTTGTCAGTCTTTGACTCCAGCAGGACTCTAATGTCTTGTCAGTCTTTGACTCCGCAGGACTCTAATGTCTTTGTCAGTCTTTGACTCCAGCAGGACTCTAATGTCTTTGTCAGTCTTTGACTCCCGCAGGACTCTAATGTCTTTGTCAGTCTTTGACTCCCGCAGGACTCTAATGTCTTTGTCAGTCTTTGACTCCAGCAGGACTCTAATGTCTTGTCAGTCTTTGACTCCAGCAGGACTCCTAATGTCTTTGTCAGTCTTTGACTCCAGCAGGACTCTAATGTCTTTGTCAGTCTTTGACTCCAGCAGGACTCTAATGTCTTTGTCAGTCTTTGACTCCCGCAGGACTCTAATGTCTTTGTCAGTCTTTGACTCCAGCAGGACTCCAATGTCTTTGTCAGTCTTTGACTCCAGCAGGACTCCAATGTCTTTGTCAGTCTTTGACTCCAGCAGGACTCTAATGTCTTTGTCAGTCTTTGACTCCAGCAGGACTCTAATGTCTTTGTCAGTCTTTGACTCCCGCAGGACTCAATGTCTTTGTCAGTCTTTGACTCCAGCAGGACTCAATGTCTTTGTCAGTCTTTGACTCCAGCAGGACTCCAATGTCTTTGTCAGTCTTTGACTCCAGCAGGACTCCAATGTCTTTGTCAGTCTTTGACTCCAGCAGGACTCCAATGTCTTTGTCAGTCTTTGACTCCAGCAGGACTCTAATGTCTTTGTCAGTCTTTGACTCCAGCAGGACTCTAATGTCTTTGTCAGTCTTTGACTCCAGCAGGACTCCAATGTCTTTGTCAGTCTTTGACTCCAGCAGGACTCCAATGTCTTTGTCAGTCTTTGACTCCCAGCAGGACTCTAATGTCTTTGTCAGTCTTTGACTCCAGCAGGACTCTAATGTCTTTGTCAGTCTTTGGACTCCAGGAGGACTCTCAATGTCTTTGTCAGTCTTTGACTCCAGCAGGACTCTAATGTCTTGTGTCAGTCTTGACTTCCAGCAGGACTCTAATGTCTTTGTCAGTCTTTGACTCCAGCAGGACTCAATGTCTTTTTCAGTCTTTGACTCCAGCAGGACTCTAATGTCTTTGTCAGTCTTTGACTCCAGCAGGCTCTAATGTCTTTGTCAGTCTTTGACTCCAGCAGGACTCACAATGTCTTTGTCAGTCCTTGACTCCAGCAGGACTCTAATGTCTTGGTCAGTCTTTGACTCCAGCAGGACTCTAATGTCTTTGTCAGTCTTTGACTCCAGCAGGACTCCAATGTCTTTGTCAGTCTTTGACTCTGAACTCCAGTCAGGACTCCAATGTCTTTGTCAGTCTTTGACTCCAGCAGGACTCCAATGTCAGTCTTTGACTCCTGCAGTCTTCTTTGACTTTGTCACGTCCTTTTGACTCCAGCAGATCTCCAAGTCTTTGTCAGTCTTTGGGACTCCAGCAGGACTCTAATGTCTTTGTCAGTCTTTGACTCCAGCAGACTCTAATGTCTTTGTCCAGTCGTTGACTTCCGCAGGACTCCAATGTCTTTGTCAGTCTTTGACTCCAGCAGGACTCCAATGTCTTTGTCAGTCTTTTGACTCCAGCAGGACTTCCAATTCTTTGTCAGTCTTTGACTCCAGCAGGACTCCAATGTCTTTGTCAGTCTTTGACTCCAGCAGGACTCAATGTCTTTGTCAGTCTTTGACTCCAGCAGGACTCTAATGTCTTTGGCAGTCTTTGACTCCAGCAGGACTCCAATGTCTTTGTCAGTCTTTGACTCCAGCAGGACTCCAATGTCTTTGTCCAGTCTTGACTCCCAGGACTTCAATGTCCTTTGTCAGTCTTTGACTCCAGCAGGACTCTAATGTCTTGTGTCAGTCTTTGACTCCAGCAGGACTCAATGTCTTTGTCAGTCTTTGACTCCGCAGGACTTCTAATGTCTTTGTAGGTCTTGGACCACAGGACTCTATGTCTTGTCAGTCTTTGACTCCAGCAGGACTCTAATGTCTTGTCAGTCGTTGACTCCAGCAGGACTCTATGTCTTGTCAGGTCTTTGACTCCAGCAGGACTCCAAGTCTTTGTCAGTCTTTGACTCCAGCAGGACTCTAATGTCTTTGTCAGTCTTTGACTCAGCAGGACTCCAATGTCTTTGTTCAGTCTTTGACTCCCGCAGGGACTCCAATGTCTTTGTCAGTTTTGACTCAGCAGGACCTATTAGTCTTTGTCAGTCTTTGACTCCTGCAGGACTCTAAGTCTTTGTCAGTCTTTGACTCCAGCAGGACTCTAATGTCTTTGTCAGTCTTAGCCTGTCTGAGACGCTGAAGCTGACGCTCCAGGAAAGTGCTACCTAAAATGGACACCTGATTGCTGAGTTCTCACAGCTGTGGGGCCACGCCCCTTTAATTAGTTAACTCTCTGCAGCTGGTGGCCCTCAAAAGGAAATCTAGACTGGCTTCCTCCTGACTTGTTATTGTATTTTAAGTGGCCCAATGGTTTTACAATGACATTAAACCCTAAGTTATAAAGTTATGAGTTTAACCCTTAATACAGTTACACCTACTCAATAAAGCTCTTAGTATTCTACAAATGTTTAAATCAAAGTTAACCCTAGCAGTCAGTTAGTTCACTTTTAAGGTTTCAGTCAAATTACTTGTCCCAAGTTTCTGCCTGACAGATTACTGTAGCGGTTTTGAGACTTTAAAATCACAATTCAGTCAGATCAACTACAGAGCATTTATATAGAGTACACACACTGAAACAGAGAAGTCTAAAGACACCAATGTTACTCACACAATTCTAGAAGTCTCCAGGTGCTTTCCTGTCAAAATCGAGTTGCACACTGGTGGACTCTGGTCTACACTGCTAGGCTAATGCTAGGCTTAATCTGGGCTAATGCAACCCGGGGCTAACGCTAGGCTCACTGGTGGTCCTACAATCTAGGCTAACGTTAGGCTCACCCTTGGCTCACTCTTGGCTAACACTAGGCTAACACTAGGCTCACGCTAGGCTAACACTAGGCTCAATCTGGTTTACACCCTAGGCTAACGCTAGACTCACACTAGGCTAACGCTAGGCTCACCCTGGGCTAACGCTAGGCTCACCCTGGGCTAACGCTAGGCTCACCCTGGGCTAACGATAGGCTCACCCTGGCTAACGCTAGGCTCACCCTGGGCTAACGATAGGCTCACTCTAAGCTAAAGCTAGGCTAACGCTAGGCTAACGCTCACTCCGGGCTATATGTCAGCTAGCTGTCGTACCGACGGTGTTGATTGGCTTCCTGTAGGGCATCAGGCCGAAGCTGTACTGGAAAACTCCTCTGGCGTGAAACAGAGGCAGCGCGACTCCCATGATGCTTTGCAGCCGGTTCTATGGACACAGACACACTGAGCCTTAAATATATATATATTGCACATATTTATATTTAGAGTGTGTGTTTGTAGGTGTAAACATGTGTGTGAGACCTCTGACCTGCAGCCTCCTGAGAGGAGAACCACTCGGGTTCTCCATCTGATCAAACAACTCGTTCTCCCCGAAGGAAAAGACAGGAACCAGCTGAGCCCTACCACACACACAGCACACACACACACACACACACACACACACACACACACACACACACACACAAGATCTGTGTGATTATGCATTATTCACAAAAACCACGCACACCCCACACACACACACCCCCACCCAAACACACACCCGTGTTTGAGAGCCAGTTTGATGAAGCCCTTCCGGTTCAGGATCTGAAACACAAAGTTAGCCTGTTATCCTTTATATGGGGAACCTATTTGACGCCTCCTAAGCCCCCCACCAACACTCCGCCACCCAGCCCCTCTAGCGCAGCCCCATGTCACAGCTTCTGCCTGCAGGAAGTTAGTGAGAACGATGTTCTGGAGGTCCTTAGTAAACTTGACCCCAACAAACCTGCAGGTCTTGATGGCCTTCTTTTTTAAAGTTGCAGCCCCGATTATTGCAGAATCTCCCACCTTTGTAATCTGTCCATACAGACAGCAGTGCTACCTTCTGCCTGGAACGCAGCCTCAGTGCAACCTTTGTTTAAAGGGGGAAACCATGCTGCTGAACTGCTATCGTCCAATATCCATTCTACCCTGTATAGCGAAAGTGTTCGAAAAGTTAGTTTGCAAACAGCTAACATGGTTCTGAAAGACTTACAACATACTATCTGACATGCAGTCTGGTTCCGTGCAGGCATGGGTGTGAGACGGCGACTCTCAAGGTCCTAAATGATATCATCAATGCCCTTGACTCCAGACAATACTGTGCTGCCATTTTCATCGATCTTGCCAAAGCCTTCGACTGTAGATCACCAACTGCTTCTGGGAAAGCTTAGATGCATTGGGTCACTAACCAATCGATAGCCTGGTTTGAAAACTACCTGTCCATGCGCACCCAGTGTGTAAAATCTGAAAATCTGATGACACAGTCCCTATCCATCTCTAAGGGAGTACCACAAGGCTCTATCCTAGCACCCATCCTATTCTCAATATATATAAATGACATGGAGAAATCAGTGGGCAACTCCTCTATCCACCTAGATGCAGATGACACGATTCTGTACACTGCTGGCCCTTCCCCGGATACCGTCCTGAAAACTCTTCAGGATAGTTTTCAGAGAGTCCATCTCTCTGCCCTCGGCCTGGTCCTGAACACCACTAAAACCAAGATCATGTGGCTTGGCCGCAGTGGTGCCTCTCAAACTGGCACTATTGTGACCACCGATGGCCGGAACCTCGAAATAGTTCAATCTTATCAATACCTTGGATTTTGGATTGACAGTAATCTGTCATTCTCAGAACATCTCTCCAAAATTCAGACCAAGGTTAAAGCTAGACTCAGCTTTCTGTATAGGAATTGCTCCTCATTCACTTCATCTGCTAAAGTCTCTCTGTTCCAGATGACTGTCCTTCCTCTGTTCCAGATGACTGTCCTTCCTCTGGTCCAGATGACTGTCCTTCCTCTGGTCCAGATGACTGTCCTTCCTCTGTCAAGATGACTGTCCTTCCTCTGTCCAGATGACTGTCCTTCCTCTGTTCCAGATGACTGTCCTTCCTCTGGTCCAGATGACTGTCCTTCCTCTGTTCCAGATGACTGTCCTTCCTCTGGTCCAGATGACTGTCCTTCCTCTGGTCCAGATGACTGTCCTTCCTCTGTTCCAGATGACTGTCCTTCCTCTGGTCCAGATGACTGTCCTTCCTCTGGTCCAGATGACTGTCCTTCCTCTGTTCCAGATGACTGTCCTTCCTCTGTTCCAGATGACTGTCCTTCCTCTGTTCCAGATGACTGTCCTTCCTCTGGTCCAGATGACTGTCCTTCCTCTGGTCCAGATGACTGTCCTTCCTCTGGTCCAGATGACTGTCCTTCCTCTGGTCCAGATGACTGTCCTTCCTCTGGTCCAGATGACTGTCCTTCCTCTGTTCCA